TTTTCGTAAGATGAAGCATTCGTAAGTAGAGGTACCACTGTACATCCACATCCACAGAAAGGGAGACATAAGAGACTGCAGCAACTGTAGAGCGATAGCAGTGATCTCCCATGCAAGCAAAATCATGCTCAAAGTTCTGCAACATAGACTTCAACCATACATAGAAAGAGAGATCCCAGAGGTCCAAGCAGGGTTCAGGAAAGGGAGAGGCATGGGGGACTACATTGCAAACATACAATGGCTAATGGAGCGCACCAGGGAATTCTGAAAGAAATCCAGCATGAAATCCAGAATTCCAAAATGCAAAGATATACAACTCACCACAAAAGCTAGAACATACAAGCTATTCTATTCCCTGTTACCATGTATGGATGTGAGAGCTGGACAGCTAAGAGAGATGATAGGAAGAAAATCAATGCATTTGAGATGTGGTGCTGGAAAAGAGTGCTGAGGATCCCATGGACAGCCAAAAGGACTAAAAAAAAAAAAAAAAAAAAAAAGGTCCCAGAGCAGATCAAACTGGAAACCTCCCTGGAAGCCAAGATGACCAAACTGAGGCTGTCGCACTTCAGATACATCATGAGAAGGGAGGACTCATTGGAAAAGACAATAATGTTGGGAAAGGTGGACGGAAGTAGGAAGAGAGGAAGGCCACATGGCAGATGGATGGACTCTATTTAGAAGGTCACAGGTATTAAGGGGTTGCAGGAATTAAGCAGAGCAGTGGAGGACAGAGGCTCTTGGAGATGTCTCATCCATCCGGTCACCATGAGTTGAGATCAACTCAAGAGCAGCTAACAACAACAACAACAACATTGGACTACAATTGTTGGACTACAATTCTGGAGACCAGAGTTCGAACCCACGCTTTAGGCATAGAAACATACTGGGTGACCCTGGGCAAATTAAATTCTTTCAGCCTCAGAGGAAGGCAAAAACCAACCTCTGCTTAACAAATTTTGTCACAAAACCCCCCATTATAGGTTCACCATAGGGTAGCTGTAAATCAGAAAAGACTTGAAGGCAGACAGCAGCAGCAGCAACAATAACAACAAATGCCATAGTTTAGAACAGGGGTAGGCAACATTTTTTTGCCGGGGG